TATAAAAGAAACAAGTCGAATCAAATGCGTGTCCGAGTTTCAGTATAATTTAAATGAACACGCAGCTCGCTGATGCTGGCCATGTCCATGCTGGAATGTCGGAAGCTGTGAGACTTAAGCGTCTGATAAACGGCTTCAAAACATACAAAACGTTCGATTTAACTCAGAGAGTTAATAATATTATCGGCTTAAGACATTGTCGCCGCTCCGCTTCGTTGTGTCCGAGCGATTTATTAAAATGTCAAAAACTAGTTGGTTCGCTTTTCAGCTCGGCTCAACCGACGACCGGCCACTCTCTATATATATATTGATCTTAATGCGTTATAATTTTGCCATAAATCAAACGGCTCGGCTTATGACGTCCGCCGCAGTTCCGCAGCCAGCCGAGGTGCCACAAAGCATTGCCCATTTCTAACACCTTAAATTTATGGAGCCCCGGCTTTATAGTCCACCCATCCCAAGGCTTCGGATGTTCGGCTGCCGGCCACTTCAATTCTAATGCAGATTCCAATTCAATTCAAGTGATTGGCCGAACAGTAGCCTCTCAGTTCGTTTACAGCTGGAAATGTATCAAATTCTTAAGCTCCGATAATGGCATTTTAAAGAATTTCTACCTAGGCCCACGTCGTGTGAGGTGTGCTGCGTTGAGCTGCGTTTAAGGTAGCGAGCCACCCATATTGTGAACGGTTTTTTAAATGCAACCAACGACTGTGTAATTTGCATGTTAATGTGCCTAGAATGCAACCGTATCTCAACTTCAGTTCAAACCCAGGGGGGCATCCGCAACTTAGCTGATTGTACGGAATTCAGTTTGAGTTTCCATCCCTTTCGGATTGATTGTGTATTGTATGCCGCATCGGCATAATCATTCAGTCAATTCATCAGTCAACCCCGTTACGCCGTTGTCGCAGTTAATTAGAAACTATTCAAAGTCTACTTAAGTGCGCATTTCCTGTGAACATATGCGAGTGAGTGTGTGTGTGTTGATGCGTAACTCCAAGTGGATGAGTTTGAGTATCTTGCGGGTAATTGTAATTGCTGTGCATTTCGAAAACTAACGAGACAATTTGAAAATAATTGCGCTGATATGGCGGCCATTAAACAATGCGTGCCCATTGGCTGGCTTTTTGCGGTTCGCTGAACTTTTATCTGTCAACATTTCGAGTGGCACTCGTACAGCTCACACGCACTACAGTTGACTACGGGCCACTTAAAACAGAGAGAGAGAGACTGTACTTGTTTCCGATAATATTTGAGGCACGCTGTGAGGTCTTGGTTCCACGAAATGACTGCGGTTAGATCAATCCACAAATTAGACTCTATGTTTTATCCAAGCTATGCTTAATATTAGATTTAAAGAAACCAATCGATTTAGTTTCTCATTTGTTTATTTATTACTTACTTTACAAATTACTTGGCTAATTAAATGAAAAGCTAAAACTTGACTGACTGAGTGATTGACGGACTGACTGACTGGTGTTCCTAATTTTTCTATATACAAAAATATTTAAGATTTATAGCAAATAACCTGAACCGGGTAAAGCCGGGCCATACCAACCAGTCCCTTCCTTATATCTCTAATACAACAATTAGTGACAAAATAATTGTTTTAAAATTAGCTAGTACATGTTTGCTGCACTCGTCCTGCTCAGCTAAAACGCATAAAAAAAAGCGCCCAATTAATTAAAAAACAGTTTTGATTTGTGGCCATTTAGTTTGAGGCCCTGCGGCAAGCCATAAATTTGAAATTCGTGTGCGTCACGATCTGGCCATGGATCTGTCTGTCCGCTGGCGATTTTGGTTTATGTGGATCAGGTTAATTAGTTGGCCAAGCTGCAGCTTTAGCCGGCAATTGACTACGAAAAGAAAACACATTCAATTTGTTAACAATAAATTAGTCGATCGGCGATGATCATTTGGCTTTTGGATATGCGTGTGTTTCAGCTTGCTCTGCGGTTCGTCAGAGATTTGTTATAATTGCTTTATTTAGTTAATCAACTTTATCAAAAGGGTACTCAAGCAGCAACCGCATAAATCACTTCGTTAACCCAGCCCGACCCTGAGACTTCAAGCCATCGGGCGTCATAGAATTGTGATTAGCATTTGTCTGCAATCACAGTTCCGGCGACATTCCCCCTGCAACCCCCGTCGTAGCCGTGCTCGGCACTTCAACGAGCTGGTTACCCACTCCACGGCACTACGCTCACATTTCACCCCAATTACCTTATCGCCAGCGCGCCACTTAATTTAGAATGTTTAACATGAATGCGCCGCAGTATCAGAATCCATCCATACCTGCGCCCGCTGCTGTCCCTGTTTCCCTGCCCCTGCCCCTGCCCCTGTCTCTGCTCTGGATTGGAACCCACCCTGTATGCTTGTGGTTCACAGTCAGCACCACCAACATTACCACCACCAACATCAACGCTGGCCGAGATTAACGGCTAAAGTCGCCGTCTCTACCCCTGCCCTTCACGCGGCTAAAGTCCAACCCAGGCAATTTTTCGGTTGGCGTTTAAGTGTTCCCCAGGGTGAGATACATTTTCGTCGGCAGCAACAACAACAATAACAAACGAGAACGACTTTACATCATTTTCATGGTCGCTTCCATTTTGTTGCTGCGGTTGGGGAGAGACGGCAAGAGCTGGCTGTCTCGGCGCTGTGCTCTGTCAAATATTAAATTACGCTTGTTAAATTGTCTTGTTAAAATCAACTCCGTAAAATAGACGCAATTTATCATATTTTAATGGGGTTCACTTCAGGAAAATTGCTGCTTATCGCCAAGTACTGGCCCCGCCAGATACGTAAGCATCCATGGATTCGGCCAGGGATTGGGGATTGGGCACTGTGTGCTCTTATAGGCAGCTGATAATAATGTTGCCTGGGAACCGCTGCCCCAACTCTGCCCGGCTCCGACTCCGGCACTATGAATGTCGATGAGCAATGAGTTGTTGATTCCATTTGTAATGGACTTTTATTTCACTCGCCTAACGCAGCTCTATAATTTTGGAGAACAGCTCCTCCTCGTCGTCGCCGTCGTCGTCTGCACCTAATAATTGAGCAATTGAGTTGCAACACGAAAAGCGTCTTAACATTTGAACCGCGCCACAGCTCCATTTGGCCCACTCGGCCTGGTCTGAATTTCGGTTCTGGGTTGCGAAAGTTCCGCAGGATATCATCGCATGCTTATTATCACATTACGGCCATATAAATTATTCCTAGACCCGAGTATGCACAGCTGGCGGGGCAGAGCTTCGATTATTGCAGCTTTATGGCCGCACGATAAGCGGCAGCTCCGCCCAAAATTGCCCGAATTATGAGGAGCGAATTGGAGTTGTGCAAAGATAGATAGTTAAACGATTTGTTTATATTGAACCATGTGCTGCATCGCATATTGGCATACTTTCTCTGCCCATTGGCGTGCATCATGCAGAAGGAGTAATTAACTTCGAAAGGCCCTTAGACACAATTTGAAGTCTAAAATGGCCCATGCGGGTGCCATATATTATAAAATGTTTCCGTCTACAATCATCATAAAAACTGATATATATATATCTGACCAGCGTATTCTCAACCTTGTCTGACCATAAATCGAATACCCTCTGCAACCGTATAATTAGGCATAAGTTTTTTACTCTCAATGTCTCCTAAAGAGTTTGTTTTGGGAGCTGCCATGTCAATCATTATTTCCACACTCTCGAGTGACTTTGGTCCAAGTCGAGACTTAAGTATATTTAAATGGTTTGTGATGCAGACGAATGCATAATTTGAAGACCTTCCGCTTATGGCACGCAATGTAAAAGTTGGCTGCTGAAATTTAATGCTTCTCTCGGTTCAAATTTGTGCATTTTTTGTTACTGTTTATTGACGACAAATTATAATTAATTGCATTGATCACGTGATGGAGCTCGAGCAGCCTGCAGATACATTTCAGCAGGCGCAATTTATGCTGTTGGTTTGCAGGTGTGAATAGACCGCGCCATGGCCGCAGGGCGGCCAGTTACAGGATCGAGGCTGGAGCGCAGGCTCCCAAAAGTGCAATAAACGCGCCTAAGAAAAATAAGAATAAAAATGAAATGCCAAATACGCATACACAACATGCAATGGCCCGGTTGGAGTTGGAGTTGGAGCTGGGCATCGCGCGGACGGGTGGACGGGTGGCCGGGGCTGGGCCAGTGTGGACGACATGCCGGTCACAGCAGGACTCTTCGCAATTCAGAGTTTGGCCAGGCAAACGCTGCACAAAATTATTAACACGATTTAAAACACTTTTATGGCATCGCCCGCTGTGAATGAAGTTGTTATGCATTTTATCGCAAGATTTCGCTGAAACGCTACACCAGACTGTGGGTGTGAGGGGAAGAGGCGGGAGCGGGCACAAGTAGCAGTAGCAGAGGGCGGGAGGTGTGGCAACGTAACCAGTTGCCATATATATATATAAATATGCATGTATATACACAACTGGCTCGCATGCAAATCGAAATGAAATTAACGCCCTGTCCGGCAGATTTAGCAGCATTTATTTAGCCATTTCGCAGCCAAGACCAGGGCGTGCAAATCAATTCAACTCTCTATGGATGGGGTGCAGGAGAGCGGATGGAGGGGGGCGGTTGGACAGGCCTATTGACTTTTGTTGACTGCGGCTTGTTATGACTGGCGCATTTGACGCTTTAATTCCATAGAAATCGCACCCCGAGCAGAAAACAGCCGAGTCGAGCCGAACACAAACACAATAAGGATGGGAACAACAGGCTGGCAACAGGATCATTGGCAGGACAATGCCGAGGCATTCAATTCGAAAATTTGTTTTAATTGTTTTGCCATTATGTGAGTGTTTTTCTTTATTCGGTTTTTTGTTGACTCGCCAAACACACAAAATGTGCAAAACTGAAGCCAATCGCTTCCAGCGAACCAAACAAAGAACAGCTCAACAACTCAAAGATGAGCCTGCGAGATTTTTGTCGTCTCGATTTTTCGTGTGAAATCAAAGCAGAAAATAATAATAAAAAAAAAAACAACAAAGTGTCGCTCGGTGGCAATTGAAAGGCAATAATTGAGATATGGCCAGCAGCAGCAGCAGCATCAGGAGTTGACAAAGGGCCGCCTGCCAAAGCACGCGTGAATATTTGTTATAAATTTGTCAAGCGGCGCAGGCAGACAATGACTGCGGCTCCTTGGCCCTGGGCCGGGCTGTGCAGCTGTGCTGCCAGGAGAGACAGCTCGAAGAGATCCCAAACACGGATAGCGCAGAGGGCAAGAAGAAGCAGCAGGAGCAGCAGCAGGAGCAGGGTCGGCAGCCGCATCGAGTCATTGCATTTCCATTAATTAAAGCGAGTCGCACTTTATTGGGCCATAGAGCGTTGCCACGCCCACAGTTGTCGCCTTTTGTTGCGCCTTTGTTGGACGCCATTGTTGGGCTAAGTGGACATCGTTTATTGCACTTTTGTTGGGCCTCCTTTGAAAATTAGTTGCGCTATTCAATCGAAAACTCGAGCCGTTTACTGCGACTGCAACTGCGACTGCGACTGCGCAACGCTGTAAATTACCCGGCCGCGTACCCATTTTCAGATGTTGATTGCACCCACACGCTCCATTGTCCATTGTCGTGCCCAGAGCTGGCCTGGCCGGGCCATGCCATGCCATGTGTGTTCCCTCGAAACTCTGGCTCTATGGGATCGGGATTGCCTCCGCGTTTGCATGTGGCACATGCGTCGTGTCTGTCCCCTCGTTTAGCAGCTGTTGCCATCGACTTTTGCTCTGGTAGCGAAATTATGTTAAATGACTTAATTTATTATGTTTGGTTTTTCGCCAACGAGAGGGGAATCCAATTGTAATACGATTGTGCGGCAGCATTCGTGGGACACTTTCGCAATATGTCATTTGGGGTGTGCGTGTGTGCATGCGAATATATGTGTGTGTGTGTGTGTGTGTGTGCAAGAGTGTGTGCGATAAGGTATATATGTAAATGTAGACACAGCTGATAACATGAGCCTGCGACCCCTGTGCCCAAGGTTTATCATTTCAAGAACTTACATGTTTTTTTTTATCGCGGCAATCGCTACTCTAGCGACTAACCTTATATATTATGGCACATTTATTGAGTATCTAAAAATTAATGAATAATAAATTGGGCATAGAAGTCGAACTCCCCATTTTGTTTCAAGAACTGCCTACATGAAAGTCGGCCGGATCTGATCCGATCTAATCGTATAAACTTTGTATTACTTTATGATAAAGCCAAACTTGTGATATGCGCGTTTCTATAATTTCCAAACCAATCTGTAAATTCGTATCAAATCGGAACAGTATATTTTATGTATTTTCTATCCATATGCCTAAAAGGATATTCAATTTTCGATATGTCGAAGACAGCTGTTTTATTTGTTTTCAAAATTGTGTACCTTAAATTAAATTTCGCCTTATATTTGCTTCAGATTTTTGTATTTCGTATCGTATGTAGGATCTAATATATATTGTATCCTCTTGTAACCCGTTGCTTTCAATTGATCTAGTCCGATAAAAGTAAACTTAAGTTTGCTTCAGTTCTCAGTTCGAAGGGACACGGAGTTGTTGTGGATCCGGCACGTTAGCTCTGCATCATCATCATGAAAGCGGGAATGCGCCAATTTCCTTACAATGTTTCAGCAAACGGAAAGCACCTGGCGGGCAACCGAAAACAACTGGCGTGTCTTTAAGCAAATCCTCGCCAGATCGCAGTTCATTTCATTTCCCCATTTCGCAGCGGCAATCGAGCGGGGCAGCGGGGCAGAGGGCCAGCTTACAAGTTACAAGTTGTCAGGCCATTAAGCTGATTGAGTTCAGCTAAGTTTTTGAGCACATTTTCCATTACAAGTTGATCAGTTTTGTGCCAAGTCTGTCTGAAGGAAGAGGGCAGCGCCGGTTCGCTTTAATTTTACTGCTTGTTTGCTTTCACACTCTTATTACAACAACAACAACAACAACAACAGGTCCTGAAGACTGAGAGGCAGTTCGAGATTGAGATCGAATGTCTGCTCCACTTTTGAGCGTTGCCCTTGCACTCCTTTACCTTCTCGTTCTACCTGTGTTTATCGGCTGCAGCTCCCCCCGCTCCAAACGCATTTCCCGTTTGCAATTTTCACTCGCTGCCCGTCTGATTATTATATTGTACGCACATGTTCCGCCATTATGGAGTTATTATGATCAATAAGACAACTTAAATGCTGCAATTAAGTCGAGCCAGCGATCTTTTTTTTTCTGTTTTTTGCTCTGCTTCTTTCCGATCGCGTCCCAAATTTGAGAGTTTGCAGCGCCATTGGCAACGGCAACAAATTTTTGCCTTTGCAACGCGTAATTGGCGCTTAATTCTCCTGCGGGATCATTTAATTTTACGAGCCCGGCCAATTGATTATAATGGACGCCATCAGACTTTTACAACATGCTAAATGCGCGCGTAAACAGCGCGAATACGTAGAAGAGACAGGAGGCAGGAGCGAGAGCGGAGGCCTTGGACCAGAGATCGTCTCTCTGTCAATCAGCCAGGCAATATTGAAGATCAAGATGCGTCCCAGGCTCAGTTCGAGACTGAGACCCCAGCTCCAGCTCGAGCAGCCGCTCAGTGTTTGTGTTGAGTGGCCGTCGCCATTAGGCAAATTCAGCGATCGATTGTGGTCTTGGGGCAGCAGCGCGAATGCATCGCGGATGCTGCCACCAATTTGAGTTTTATCGACGGCAGCAATTTGCAGTTACTTGTGAACTACCTGAGAAGCCGTTGTCAGACTTTACCGCAGCAGCGCGATAGCGCAAAGCCCAGACACGCATTCGCAGGCGCAGACGCAGACGCAGTCTCAGTTCCAGTCTCAGTTCCAGTCTCAAGTCTCAAGTCCCAAGACTTAGTCCCAGTTGCCGTTTCAGTGCTCGGCCTCCGTATTAATAACCACAAAAAATAACGATCGATTGCGGTTATTAGAGGCAATTTGGATGAACAAGATTTTGGTCTGCGCCGCGTTTTGGGTTTTTTTTTTTTTTTTTGATAAATTGCACCAAATTTATTGGTTGATTAAATGTTATTGCACTCGCGCCTAAGTGGTTAATGATAGGCACAAGAGTGCATAGCAAAGCTGTACAGCTATAGTCGAGCGTTTGCTCTAAGATGGCATCGAATTTGATTTTAATTGACAAACACGTCAGACGAGTTGCAAACAAATTGGCCCACTCGATCCTCGATCGTTGATCACCGATCGCCGATCGCTGATTGTCGACGATCGTCGCAACAACTTTATCATCCCAACTGCACACACACTCACACACACGGATCTCGAAAAGATCGTCACCTGGCAATCTGGACAATCAGGCGCTATGGGCGGCAGCCCAGCTCCATTTGCCAGCCGAGAGATGGCCTCTCCTACAGTTTCAGCATGGGCCAGTAGCTATTGCCAACTGCCAGCTGCTGTTGTTGTTGTTGCCGATCCTCAATGTCGCTGTCTCTTCTTCTCATGCCATCTCCCTCTGCCTGTCTTAATGACACTTAAATGATCGTTTGCGTATGTCCGCTGAGGGGTTGCATTGTTGCATTTGCAAAACTGGCCAAGTGAGCTGACAATTGAGAGCAGCGGCGAGCACAAGGCTCAGTTTTATTGTGTTGCACTTCACTTTTTGTCGGCTTGTCGCCGCTTGACCGCTGCTCGCCCATTGCTGGGGTGTCAAAAGCAACCTTTTGACATTTATACCCAGCGACAATGGCCAGTCATTTATTAAGCAAACAATGAGAGCCCGAAGTGCCACTCGAAGCCAGCCGCCAGCCGTAGGACTCTTAACAAGTTTTTGTGCAGCAGCTGAGCAACAGTCGCACACGATCACCAGGATCGCCATGTGCCTCGAGCTATTTAAATACAGTTTAGCCTGGAAGTGTGAAATTGGCGGCAATATGCTGAGGATAGCATCGAAATGGAAATACATTTTCAGGTAAATTTGAGTGTTATGCGTACAAGATTAACGTAAGTAGCTCTCGAGATGGCAGTTTTCAGTCAATCAATCTTAATAAACATTTAATGTAATAAGTCTCTTACGGAACTAATCTAAAATTGGTAAGATAGTTGTACAAATGCTTCCTATTTATTGAATAGGATATTTACTTAAGTATTCTTGACATATTAAGTTTATCTCTGAGAATTGCAAAATGCAAAATGAATGGGAAACACAAATATTTGTAAGATTTAAACATAATCGTAAATGTACAACTAAAAGATACAAAAGCTATTTTGAGTTAAGAAAAGTATCTGTAACAAGTTTCCGCAAGACTCGAGTAAACTTTAAGATACAAAAGAACCTGTAGGATTATAAATATGAGCGATATTCAAAAATTTCGGTGCAATACGAGCGAATTTTTGAAATACATCTTTAAAAACAATTTGTAAGATAAGAAAGTATCCGTAGGATACAAAAGTATTTGTAAAATACAAAAATATCTATAAGATACAAAAGTATCTGTAGGATACAAAAGTATCTGTAGGATACAAAAGTATCTTTAAGATACAAAAATATCTTTAAGACACTAAAGTATCTGTAAGATACAAAAGTATTTATGAAATACAAAAGTATCTGTAAGATAAAAAGTATTTGTAAGATACAAAAGTATCTGAATGTTACAATTAATAAGAGCAAAGACTACATTCCATAGGCCTCTCAAGACAGAGTTGTCGAACCTACGACGGGTTCAATGGCAACATGTTGAGCCGAATCCTCATTTGGGCAGACTTTTATGGAGCTTCTGCTGATATTTGCATACGGCTCACGAGTTGCCAAATTACCAGCTTCACGGGGCGATCATTTGGTATCGTGTCGGTAATTGCAGCATAAAAAATGAATATTAAATGCAAGCAGGCGAAGCTTTCCCTTATTGAAGCCAATGAAAAGCTATTGACAGGCCGACGCAATTACAATTACCCCAAAACGCTGATCGGGCCCGTTGGCGAGCACGCACCGAGAAGGTGCTCCGAAAAGGTACTTTAGATTTTGGGTAGCTCATTAAACTGTATTTAACGAGTGAAGCAGCGCGCTGGCAATTGCCAGTTGCCAGTCGCCAGTTGCCAGTTTCCAGTTAGCAATTGGCAATGACTTCGATTTATGGACGCCAAAACGCAGCCCGATAAAAGGGCGGCCAGCGAAGCACAAACTGGGCTAATGAAAGCGTTAATATAACTGAGTTCGGGCAGGCAATGGAGCAGCTGAGTGGCCGAGATGAATACAAAAGTGCAGATATACGTGTGTAGATGGCCTTAAAGATGGTTGGTGAGATGTGGATGACTGGCTGCTATTTGTTTTAAATCATTTGGCCAAATGCCAGACATATTTCATGCTCGAATATAGCGCATACGCCTCCGTGTGCCACGTAACTCACGGACAGTGCCAAGTTTCGTTTTGGGCCACATCTTCTTTCGTTGCAAGGAATTTGAATTTGAACGCCAGACATTTGGGCGTTGCACGGTTGTAAATTCATTTGTTAAACGATGCGCTCATAAAATTTGCGCCCTTTTTACGGCGCTGGCAGAGAGCTGAGTCGACCTGAGCTGAGAGGGCCACGATCTCGACTCGCCTTGAGAACAACCTGGCTGCAATGCACAGGACACAAGGGGGCGTGTCCGACATCGAGTCTCGAGTCCAACTCTGTCAGCTCTTGGCAGTGCCATTCGCTTTGGCTCTGCGATTCTGACCAACCTCCACTCCATCCCGGAGGCACTGAAAGTTCAACAGCAGCGCGATTTATTTGCCAGCCACAGACGGCGCCAGCTGAGGCCCCTTTCAGGTCGGTAGGGGCTTAGCTTACCGCAAAAACTCAACACTAATTATATGTTTTGCACTCGCAAACACACACACACACACACACACACACACATAGTCACCCTGCCCAAATGCAAATTGTGTTGGGCCAAAAGAAATTTCAGCTAATTTGCCAAGCATTTAAATACACACAACGCTGGCTGGCCCATAAGGTTGATGCTGCTGCTGTTAATCCCGAACGCAGCTGCCCCAACTGGCATTCCACTTGCACAACAACTGAGCGTGTTAATTCGACATGTTTTTCGCCAAAAACCATTTAGGGCCAACTATTTGCACTGCGTGCGGCTGCTGTGCCCGCTGCGGCTGCCGCGGCTGCTGCATCCTTGTGAAGCTTATGTGGATTTCATGGAATAAAAACGCGCGTAAAAAACGTCAAATTGCAACACCTCGAGGGCAAAAACAGCGGTCAGCGGACAGCCACAGCTACAGCCACAGCCACAGCCAGAGCTAAAGCCAAGAACCAGAACAGCAGCCCCGGCAGCCAAGTCAGGGCAGAGCAGAGCTGAGCTGGAGAGCCTGGACAGAGTCCATAAGTCAGTCGCAGTTCACGTTTCTCTGTTTCTCTCCCTGTGCCTGGCCCTGTCTACCCTCATAATAATTGCGTATCTGGCAGATGCAATTTATCCGTGAATTTGTTTTTAATTTTCAACACATTCGCTAATTTGATTTTTAACTTCGTTTCGAACACTGCCTCGGTCTCAATCACAGGCAGCCCGTCCAAATTGCTACACCTAATCGTGGACGTGGATGCTGCTGGGATTCTGCTGCGATTCTGCTGCGTCTCAGAGCTGCTCTCCTGTGAACGGCGTCCAACACCCGCTTTCATTTATTATTTTGTGCAACTCACTCTGGCCAGGCAGAGCGCAGCCTGTTCCCAAGTGCCCAGTGCCCAGTGCCCAGTGCCCACTGCTCAGTGCCGAGCCAGACCCAGTGCCGAGCCAGGCCGAGGCTTTGTATCTTTTTTAGCTTTCGGCCAAGTTGGTTGGCATTGGTTGGCTGCACGGGGCGCTGCTTGTTAGTCGCGTAATTTATGTTCCAGCAGATACTCGTTGGCATTGGCTTCAACCATTTCGCCTTCTTGCCCCAGCGTCTGTCGCACTGCCAGCCCCTGTTCCCCTGCCCGTACCCTTTCCCGTTTCTGTCCCTTTGCTGTGTGTCTTTGCTTATTTTCTTATCCGTTCTTATCCATGGGGCCGCGTTGTTTGCGCAGGCGCAACCCAAACAAATCGATTTTCAACGCAATGCGACGTACCTCGTTACCCGTTCCCGCTCCCGCCATTCTTCATGGCTCGTTGCCCGGTCTCTGGCTGTCTGACCGCAAATGCACAGTGAGCGTGAAAGGATTAGGGATTATTAGTGGCAAAGACAAAACTGTGCAATATGTGGCAAATATTGGGCAACCACATCTAAAA